CATTTGAGACTCATAGTGACCCTATGTGCAACAGCCTTGCTCTATCCTGTGCCAATCCCACTGCCTCTGACACACCCATCCCGATTATCCCAGTCACTGAATCAATCCACCTCATAGAGGGCCTTCCTCTCCTGCGCTGTCCCTCCACCCTCCCAAGCATGATGTCCCTCTCCAAGGACCTGTCCCTCCTTGCAACATGACCAAAGTATGTCAGACGAAGCCCCAGAATCCTTGCCATCCTGGAGAGGATTAAACCAAGCAACTCCTTGGAGGCAAGGATTCTGGGGCTAAATGAGGGTGCTAGGAGCTGAAATCAACTCAACAGCAATGGGTGTGGTTTTGAGTGGAACTCTTGTTAGAGGTCCTTGTGTGGTTCAAATGGTCACACCGTCAGCTAATTGAAAAGCTTGAGAATTTAATCCACCCAGATGTGCCGTAGGAGACAAGGCTGGTGATCTGCTTCCAGGAAGTGGTGAAAAACTGTCTCCATTGTTGTTGTTATGTGCTATCAAGTCAACTGCATCTCAGAACGACCCTACGCATAATACCTCTGAACCCTGCTCTATCCTGAGCCAGTCTCACTGTCTCTGACACACTGTCCCCATTACCCCAGTTATTATATCCGTCCATCTCATCCAGGGTCTTCCTCTCCTGACTGTCCGTTGACCTTTCCAAGCATGATGTCTTTCTCCAAAGACTGGTCTCACCTGGCTACATGTCCAAAGTATGTGAGACAGAGTCTCAAAATCTTTGCCTCCAAGCAGCAGCTTGGTTCCACCCTTTCCAGGACAGACCTGTTAGTCTTGAAAACCCTCTGGAACAGTTCTGTTGTGCGCACGTAGGGTTGTCGTGAATGAGAACTTACTCAGTGGTAGCTAACAACTGTCATGAAAGGGGATGCCCCAAAATCATTGTCTCCCCCCTTTACCTGGTGACTGTGGAGGTAAACAAGGGAGCTTACCTGAGGAAGATCCCAAGAAGATGAACAAATGATGAAAACTTCTTTTGTTGGTTTGTTTTTAAGTTTTTCATTTATTTTATTATTTGTGTGTGTGTGTGTATCATCAAATCGCATCTGGCTGGCACAGGAGGAGATTGCCGCTCCTTCTCCAGCAGAGCATCTGGTGGATTCGAACTGCGTACCTCTGGGATTGCAGTGCAGCTTCTTGCCACTCGGCCACCAGAACTCCCCAAATGATGAAAACTCTTATCCCCCTCAAGCAAACGTGACTTTCCAACACAGCAGTCTCAAGTTGGCATAGCCTTGCCTTCGTGGGTCCCAGAGGAGAAAAATACAGCCAGGCCCTGCCCCCAGCTACTCTGCTTCTGCCTGCCTGGGAGTCAAGGCCGCCTGGCTCTGGGAACATGCCTTTCCCAGGCCCTCGCTTGCCTTTCCAACTGGGAACTCACTGTTGGGGATGTAGGAGGGAGCCATGGACACTAGCTGAACTTGCCTCTAGTGCTTTGACCAGGCCCAGGTCCCCAGCAGATTTCAGCTGGACCCCTTAGCTGGAGGAGCAGTTGTTGGTTGGCACCAACTCGATTCCAGGTAGAGTGAAACCTCTATAAGATTTTCAGGGCCATGAGCTTTTGGGAGCAAATCACCAGGCTTGTCCCTCAAAGTGTCTAAAACTTCAAACCCATTGAATGGGAACCCACTCCTAGCTGACTCTCCATTGGGTTCCTAAAGCTGTGCATTGCCTAGAAGGAGATCACCCACCCTTTGCCTGCAGTCACTGGATGATTTGACCCCCAGAAAGCTGAGCCCTTTCTTTGGGTGAACAATGCAGCTCCTCCTGGATGCACTAGCAGAGCTCCTCAAAGGGCCTTGGCATGGGATTACATTGTCAACCTCCCATCTAGAATCAAGCTCTTATTTTTTCCTATCACCCAAGGGTATTTTGTGTTTCTCTCCTACGCTCTAGCAAATGAAAACAGTCCCCAGTAAGAACCCTCAATCAAATTCAGGGTCCTTAGTAGCATTGATCCCTAGTCATCTATACCTTTACCTGCAGGAAGGTTTCCATAACACTTTTCGTTTCTAGTGTGTGCAAGTGGAAGCCACCTTAGTTCCTGTAAGGAACAGACTCTGAGGGCTTACTTTCCTGTTTTCAAGCCCTTTTTTGTTCCAGATGTCTTTCTTAAGTCTCACCTTAAATCTCTCCTCTTGCCATGAAGGTAGCTTTATTGGGGTCTGAAGGCTGGAGCTGGGAGTAAACATCACCACCTCCACTGACCAGCGTCTGCCCTTCACTCTGACTTCAGTATAAGGCATCCTCCAGCAGCTCCCATTTCCCCACTTGTCCTTTGACCTTCGCATGCGCTGCAGCTGATGCCCCTTCCTCTTCTGATTCAGACTCTCTCTCCCCAGCTGCTGACCCTAATTTAGCACAAAGCTTCCCCCAACCTGCTTGTGGGGGATCCATCAAACTGGCGGGTCAACAGCTTCAAGCTCCTAAACCAGGGCTCATTGTCTGCAGTGTGTAAACAAGTTGATGAATACCAACTGGCATTAATTGCCACATTAGGATTTTCCCTTCAAAGAGTAACCTCCCTGGGTCCCAAAAGAGGGGCCTAAATGTAAGGGAGGCACTGGGAACCATTCAGCCTCTCTCCAGCCTCTGAGAATGTGGAACTTGGAAGGGGGTTGTTGAGTGGATGGGAGGTGGTTGTGTATTTGTAGAGGGGTTTAACCAAGGACTATATACTGTCTGTCTGAACTTTGTAGCCCAACTTTTTCCTCTGTATTTTCCCCCATATGAACAGTAGTACTTAGTATAATCTCTTTTCTTCCTCCCTCTCTTTCTCCCTTTGTGTGTGTGTGTGTGTGTGTGTGTGTCTGTGTTTCTGTGTGTGTATCTAAAACAATAAGGTGGGATCCCCAAAAGTCATAGTCTCAAAGCTTCTGCTCTGATGATCTCCTAACGCTACCAGAACTTGAAACCAAAACCCCTGGGTGGCTTTGCCTCAGCCTGGCATGGCCTTGGGCAGATGGTTTATTCTCTCTAGTCTGTGAGCCAGAGGATGGAATTTAATTCTCTGAATTTAATTCACCACAAGAATGTACATGTTAATGTGAGAAAAAAGTTCACTGTAAATCCTGAGAAGCATTTTAATATTTGTTTTGTCACCACTGAAGCCTGGAACACACCCATTGAAGAGTAGATGAAATTTCAAGTCCCAGATTCAGAAGAGGAGGATTAGTTGTTGTTGGTGGTGTTGTTATGTGCTTTGTGAGTCAACCATGTCTCTCAGCGACCCTGTGAACCATGGCTCTGAACCTTGCCTTCTCCTGAGCCAACCTCCCCATCTCCAACACACCCCATTGCTAGTCACTGTATCAATCCATCTCATCCAGGATCCTACTCTCTCGCAGTGACCCTCCACCCCTCCAAGCAGGATGTCCTTCTCCAAAGATTGGCCCCTCCAGATAACTTCCCCAACCTATGTAAGATGGAGTTTCAGAATCTTTGCTTCCAAAGAGGAGACTGGTGCCAAATGGTCGTTTTTACCAGTTCACTCATGTTTAGTGCTCAGAGTCCCACCTCCCCTCAGTTCTTGGGGAAACCACCATGGTTGATCATCTCCACCAGAGCTCATACTTGGGCAAACCAGGAACAGGGAGTAAAGGATCTTCGGAAGGAGTCTTTCTCCCTTTCTATTGTGATTGGAGTGAAACTTTACACAGCTAGTTGATTTGCCATCATTTTGTTCTATGCCATTAATTACAAAGCCCACATTGTGACCACACTCTTCCCACTTCTTCCTTGTGATTTGTGCTTCTCTTAATCCTTTTATCCTACTACTTCTAGCTCTCTGAGCTTGGACAGATGCTGCCCTTTTGATCTTATGTGGTTGATTATCCTAAGAAATGAGCGCCTCCCTGGTGTTACAGTGGCCCTAATAGGCCTGTCTATTGCTTGGCTAAAAGTTGAGCCAAGGGAATGAATTTTGTTCCAGGTTCTAAGGGTGACTAAGGACCATAGTCTTGGGGGGAGGGTATGCGTGTGGGATGGGGAGGTCCAATCAGTTTTTATTATACCAGTAAGTGTAGCAATTATTTTACTTTAGAACTTTTTCCTAAATCCTACTCCCCAGTACCCCTTGCCTAGTGGCAAGAAGCTGTGCTGCAATCCTGAAGGCACCTGGTTCAAGGGCACTAGTGCTCCACCAGAGAAGATGGGCAATCTCCTCCCAATTGCCTCTGAAAAAGAGTACCCAACTACAACACCACCACCCCACCTAGGACATTCTACTGTAAATCCTTTCAGAGTGCTCAGTTCCTCTTGTTCTTCTGCTCTCGGGATCACCTGTGATCTATGAAGTAGGCCTTTGGACTAATTGTCTCTCTGCAGCTTTGCGTTTCTCCCGTCCTTCATTTTGGACAGGAACGGGCCAGTAGTTGTACCTTAAATGACCGCTTGAACGTTTTTCCAGTCTCAGTTGCTGCTCACCAGTCCAGGATGCGAGACGTTGTCCTTGTGGACTATGTGATATGCCAGTTGACCTTGATGTCCCCTAAGATCATGATCCCGAGGTCCTAAAACCAGCAGCTCATTCTCTGAGGGTGTTTGATTATATTTAGAAGTTTATATAACTTTGTGTGTCCTGTTGGCTCTGTTATATACATAGATACATCATTGCTGTCAAGTTGGAACTGACTCATCGCTGACCCTCCAGCAGGTTTTTGAGAGGCTATAAATGGCACAGGAGGAGATGGCCCTCGTTTCTCCTGAGGAACAGCTGGTGGAGTCAAACCGGCGAAGAGGTGCCGCCTTTAGGTTGGCAGTGCGACTCCTGAGGCACTGTACACACAGCTCCCTGAATATACTTAGAGTGTGTATTCAAATGAATACATGTCATCTGTCAAGCCCACGTATGATCATGAGTGCACTGCTTAAGGGGACTTGTTTTTAGGAATACTTTCGCCGCCTTAATTTGTCATCTTTCCTCCCTTAACCTCTCATTCACCCTACATCTATCTATCTATCTCCTTTCAGGTCTATCCGGGAACCCCGCCGATCTGGAGAAACGTCGGCAGGTATTTGGGCAGAACTTTATCCCCCCCAAAAAGGCCAAGACCTTCTTAGAATTAGTGTGGGAAGCGCTTCAGGACGTCACCCTGATCATCCTGGAGATTGCGGCCATCATCTCCCTGGTCCTGTCCTTCTACCGCCCCCCTGGGGGAGACAATGAACGTGAGTGTCTTGAACAGCTCAGCATGACTGACTGGGGTCCTTAAAGTACTTAATGATGGATGGTTGCCGGAGTTTAGATTAAAACTGTTCCTCCAGTATCCAGCACTGAGCATATTATTCCTCACCTACAGAAAATAACTCAGCTATTCTTTGACTCCACTTGTATTCAATGTTACACTTCCCCATATTCAACCCAACCAACAAGACCCTGCTTCTCACGAGTGCCCCCCACCAATTGTCTGTCATTGTGGGACACAGTGGTGGGCACCCGGCCATGTTGGGAACCATAAGTCTTTCCATGTGACTTGCTTATAATTTTGCCCTGACTTATTTTGTTCTGTTTAGCCATTTGCTTCTCACGGGATGGTGGAAGCATTGCCCTCATTCTTTAATGTCCACAAAAGCCCCTACCTAGGTGACCCTTTCTTTCTGTCCCTCCCCTGGGATAGAGTGTGGTGAGAGCACAGGGACCCCAGAAGATGAAGGGGAAGCAGAAGCCGGCTGGATCGAGGGCGCAGCTATCCTATTCTCAGTGCTCATCGTGGTGCTAGTGACGGCCTTCAATGACTGGAGCAAAGAGAAGCAATTCCGAGGTCTGCAGAGCCGCATTGAGCAGGAGCAAAAGTTTGCCATTATCCGAAATGGCCAGCTCATCCAGCTTCCTGTGGCTGAGATTGTGGTGGGCGATATCGCCCAAATCAAATATGGTGAGAGCTCCATGGGTTCTGTGTCTGGGCTGCCCTCCTTATGCTGAGGTTAGGTCCATGGGAATGAGAGGCCTACGAATTGTTGAGGGCCCCAGAAGATATGATCCCAGATTGTGTCAGTTTCAAGATAAGCGGTGGAGGAAGTTGTGGGAAGTGATTTCTAAGAACTCTCCTAGGAGATGGTGCACTGTGGACCTTGAATGCCTAAGGGATAAAAGAATACACTAGTCAAGTCCTGGGGAGGTGCTTGATGGAGATAGGCCTAGTGGTAAGAACTGTGTGCAATTCTAAGTACACGCAGTTCAAATCTACCGGCTCCTCCACAGGAGAAGGATGGGTAGTCTTCCCATGTGATTAACTGCCTCTGATAAAACTCTGGAGGGTCAGCTATGGCTCAGTTCCGACTCTACGGTGCACAACAACATGCTACCTGGAAAGGAATCTCCTTCTAGGTGGTGTAGAATTGAAGTTGTCTTTAAAGGTTCTCCAGAGTCTCCCAAGGTCATTGTCCCTTAGGTAGGACCCAGGAAAGCAGCCTGAGATGAAGTGGACAGACTTGGATGGGTCCCCACCCCAGACAAGTCCTTACCCTCCCCTTTCCCCTCCCTTCTGTGCCCTAGGCGACCTGCTGCCTGCAGATGGGATCCTGATCCAGGGGAATGATTTGAAGATTGACGAGAGTTCTCTGACTGGGGAGTCAGACCATGTCAAGAAATCCTTGGACAAAGACCCCATGCTGCTCTCAGGTACAGCCTCTGGCTTCCCATATTCCTCTTCCACCTCCATCCTGATAGTCAAGTCACAGAGACCTGGTCCAGACCTGACTCTCTCTTCTGGTGCTCTAGTGCTGTCCTGCCTCCCTCTGCACTCATTCAACGCGAACAAAAGCATATTAGCGTGCATTGAATTGGTCTATTTTAAATGGACCCCTTCATTTACTTTTCCCTACCCTTTGAGATATATCTATATCTATCTATATAGATAGATATAGATATAGATATAGATATATCTCAAAGGGTAGATATATATGACTGGGTATAAAAGATAATACTTCACTCCTTGTCATCTTTTCCCTTTCTGTATAGGCACCCATGTCATGGAAGGTTCTGGCCGGATGGTAGTGACTGCTGTTGGTGTCAACTCTCAGACTGGCATCATCTTCACCCTCCTGGGGGCCAGCGAGGGAGAAGGGGAAGAGAAGAAGAAGAAAGGTAAGGGGCACTCAGAAGGAGACGCTCTTCCCTCTTAACCCCATGGAAAACTAGGAAGCGAGGAAGCAGATGTGGTGAACTACCAACCTGGTCGGAAGAAACCACTGGAATGAAGGGAACAGAAATCCAAACCCTTGCCAAGACAAAAGCGTGGTCTAGTGTAAGCCAGACCCCAGCTCTCAGCTCCCCAGTGTAGCTGCCTTCGAGCCTCAACCCCTGTATCTGATGGTGGGTTGTAAAGGACCAAGTTCCAAAGCCCTCCTGAAATGAGCTGGCTTGGCTGGGTGATCCCGCTCCAAGGGAACTCCACATATCCCTCCTTTTTTAGTCACTGTCTTCACATAACATTAGGGAGCACATGAACTATCACGGTCAAAGGAGGAGTGGCCAGGAGGAAAACTATCTGCTGAATGTAGGCGAGAGGCTTGGGCTAGGAGAATCAGAAAAAAGAAGCAATCTACCCTCAAGGTCATGCTTCTTTGCCTTTCACTTATTCCTAAAGGAAGAAAAACCAAAGGAAAAAAGAAACAAAAGATTCCAAAACCCAGCATTTCCCAAAGCTGCCTGCCCCCTGTGAGAGAGGATCATCAGGCTAGGCTGGCGGATCATCCTGGGCCATGACGGGGGTCAGTGAAGGGAGTGTATGACAAGGAAGCACAGGCCTATACTCTCAGAAACTACTCATTTCCTCGGCTCCCTTCGGAAGAGGAAGGGCACAGCTTGTGTGTGTGTGCCCAGTGTTGTTGAGTCGGACGCCCCTCAAGGCCTTTGGCGCCAGGCAGAAACAGTTGCACACTTCCTTCCGTAGCCATCCTCCTCATGGGAGAAGGATGGGCAATCTCCTCCCAGGCGATTAACTGCCTCTGAAAACCCACCAGAGGGTCGGTCAGCTATGGGCCAATTCCGACTCCATGGGCCATAATGACAACAGCCCCTCCACCTCAGTTTGCCAAGTGACGCATGTCAGCCAGGAGCACCTCACTAGCAGCAAGGGCACCCCAAGGGCAATGGCCAGGCGTGAGTGTGCTCAACCACCTGTGTGCTCACCACGTCTCCCCAGAGCCCAGCCCCTTTGGCCGCTGCCCTTCAGGGCTCTGAGCAGGACCAACGAAATGGATATCTGATCCCTGAAGAGTCACTTTGGGTCTCCACCCCACATTTTTCTTTTTGTTCAAACAGGTAAAAAACAAGGAGTCCCTGAAAATCGCAACAAAGGTAACCTCTCCATCCAACTCCTTTGCCATATCTACCTGCACACCTCAAACCAGACCTTTCCAGGCCATCTGCCCCCTCCCTTTGCCTCACCATTAATCTGTTCTCTACCACTGTGGCCCAGACGCCTCATCCTGGAGGAAGGTGCAGAGATTTTTTTTGGGGGGGGGGCGGGAAGAAGCACAAGAACTCAATTCCAATTTAAGCTGACGCGACAGCACCCTCTGCTGTTGGCTCGTGGAACCAACAGTGTGTTGTCAAGGCTCCTGGAGCCTATTAGGGTTTTGATCTGCTCTTCTCAGGGAGAGGAATTCTGTAAGTCATGGCTCTAGGTGGAGTTTAAGCACCAGTGGTCCAGAACCAGAGCCCAGCGGCTTCCGGGTGGGAAGACCTCAGGTCCTGATGGCGAGGGGTGTTGGGTGGGCAGTCCCTGCACCCTCCTCTTGCTAGCTTCCTCATCGGTGTCCTCTTCCAGTCTGGTTTCTTGATCTTCTCAGGGGTGCTGGGAGAGAGCTCGGCCTCTCCACTTCTCTCCTCACCTCTTTGTTCTCTCCACAGTCCAGTCTGTTTTCTTCCCCCCAATCTGATGTGTGTTTTTTTTCTGTCTACATTCCGCCTCTGTCTTGTTTTGTGCGTCTGAAAGCAGAGACAGGGTCTCAGGCAGGACCCACTGAGAAGAGGGCCTGAGCTCTGCCAGGGTGAATTTGGCAGGGTGCTGGGAGCCAGCGAGAACTGCTCTTCTGAGACAGTTTCTAGAGACTCCCCACCACCACCACCTTTCATGGTTCCACAGCAGAGAACCAGGGCGAAGCAGAAATGACTCTTTGATTCTAGGTCTCTGACTCTTCTTGTAAAAGCAACTGAATTTTTCTGTCTCTCCCCCCCCACTCCCCCACCCCCGCTTCTCTTATTCCAGGGGATGGTCCCTCACGTCAGCTTCTTCCCTCTCCCTCAAAACGCCTAACACAAGATCCCACGCTATACCTCCCCACCTTCATCAGGAAGGGGAGGAAGGGATTTCCTTTTATGATCCATCATCAGATTTAAGAAATCACTAATATACCCTGGGGTGGGGGTTGGGGAGAAGCTATCTTTCTTGCCTACCAGTCTCAAAGAGGAAACTTTGAACAAAGCAAACTAGGACCCTTATATTCCGGGAACATCTGCCAACCTTCCCCCTCAGCCCTTTTCTGCAATGAAGCATCACTATTTTAAGCACTGAATTCCAGGAAGGATGGTTGTTGGTAATTTTGTTTAGTGGCATGACTAATCTCCTGGCTGGCATAAGACTGGTGTGGGGCTCTGAGGTGGTACCAGAAAACTGCCACTGAAGAGGGCATCTATCCCGTAAAGGTTCCCTGATTCGTCCCCAACTATAGGGGTATCACCCGAGAGGCCCTAACAGAGAATTGCCAGGGTTGTTAAGCAAGTTCCATGCCTGGCACAGGGTGGGGATGGTCAGAACTCACCCCAGGGCCCAGGTGTGTTCCAGGAAGAAGACAGAAGGAATTTTTGCTTTCCACCTGCCTGGTGCTGGGTGCCACCACCCTGCCTGCTTACCTCTCCTGTCTGTGTGTGCACCCCAGCAAAGACCCAGGATGGAGTGGCCCTGGAGATCCAACCACTCAACAGCCAGGAAGGGGTTGACAGTGAAGAAAAGGAGAAAAAGGCAGCCAAGATGCCCAAGAAAGAGAAGTCGGTGTTGCAGGGCAAGCTGACGCGCTTGGCTGTCCAGATCGGGAAAGCAGGTGAGTAAAGCAGAGGGGGGGTTGTCACTGAGGTCACCAGCACCATCATCGCTGTAGTTACTGTTGTTGAAGGTTCTTGGTGTCTTTGTGAGCCTCCCCACCTTGACTCCCTCTTTTCTCCACTTGCCAGGACTGACAGGGTGATGGAGCTGTAACTTCTGAGTCCCTGATGGGCTCCCCGTAACTGTGTCCCCATCTGGGTCACCTTTGGGCCTTTCTGAGGCTTTGTATCTGTTTTCCTCTGAGTTGTAGCCCTTTGCAGAGAGAAATGTGTTCTATACTGGGCTGGAAAACATTCTCTATCTAGAAGAATAATCAGCCCTATGGTCTTTTTCATTGAACCAAATAAGAAGTAAAGCACTTCTGTCATGACGGGAGATTGACGTTAGCAAGAAGGAAGGCTTGTGTGACTGCTCGCCTGCCTCAGGTATTTGCTTGTGAATTCTGTAAGGATAGTGAGGTACTTCCTTAGCTTAGTGGTAGCATAAGGCCAAGCACAGAGCAGTAAACTCAAAGACTGGAGGGAGAGGAAGGCAGTGGTTAGAAAGGAAAAGAAGCCCCAACGGCGAAGTGTTCAACGGCTCTGTTAACCCAAAGGTCAGCAGTTCTAATCCACTCTTGGCACCAGTAGCCAGGAATTTTTTTTTTTTAGTAGCCAGGAAATTAAATGACATATTGTGATGGGAAAGTCTGCTGTTAGGGACCTCTCTAAAGTACTCAGGAGCAACGGTGTCTGTCTGGAGACTAAGGTGCATCTGATACAGGCCATGGTCTTTGCTATCACTTGTTATGCATTAGAGAGCTGGACAATGACTAGGGAGGATAGATGGAAAACTGATGATGCCTTTGAGCTTTGGTGCCAGAGAATTGTATTGAGGGTATCATGGACTGCTAGGAAAACAAACAGATTCATCCTGGAAAGGGTTAAACCGGGAGACTCCTTGGAGGCAAGGATTCTGGGGCTCCATCTAACATACTTTGGACATGTAAGGAGGGACCAGTCCTTGGAGAGGAACATCATGCTTGGGAGGGTGGAGGGACAGCACAGGAGGGGAAGGCCCTCTATGAGGTGGATTGATTCAGTGACTGGGGTAATCAGGATGGGTGCATTGGAGACAGTGCAATTGGCACAGGATAGAGCAGGGTTTAGGGCTGTTGTACATAGGGTCGCTATGAGTCACAAGCGACTCGACAGCACATAACAACAACAACAACAAACTAAGAGAGAAAGAGGGCCACTCTCTTCCTATCAGTATTTACCATCTTGGAAGCCCACTGGAGATTTGTAGAGTCAGGACTGACTCAGAAGTGAAGGCTTTGAGTCTTGGTGTCTAGAGGAGAAGATACCAAAGGTGTGTAGTGTGGTGAAGTGGTCTCTCCAACTCTATGTACTCCTCTCTCTCGCCACCCTCTTCTCATGAGGCGGGGAGAGTAGAGAACAAAAGGAGAATTGCCCCTTTGTTGAACATGTCCCTAAACATACAGTCTTTCCCACTCTTCTTGTCTTCCATGTAAGATACCTGAGTTTAGCTCCCAACAGCGCGCCCCAGACACACACCTGTCTGTTAGTGAAGATTTCCATGTTGCTGTGGTGCTGAGGGACCCCAGTCTGCAGGGAGTCGCATGCTGATCCTAAGGGCTCGCCACTCTGCTGGTCGGAATTCCCCAGGGCTCCCATTGGAGGAACATGGGCAGTCTCCTCCCAGTCAGTTTGTTGTTGTTGTTATTTACCATCAAGTTGAACACAACTCATAGTGACCCTATGAGCAAAAGGTCTGAAGCCTTTCTATAACTATCATTTCTCGAAGTTCATAGAGTTTCCAGATGCGTGTTGTTTAGGAAGTAGATGCCACTCCTGCTCCTGCCTGGAAAACCTGCTTGAGGGCCAGCTATGAATAGGTTCTGACTCATATGCAATGAGAGGTGGTTTGGGGATTTTTTTCTTCTTCTTTTCTTTCATGATTCTGAACACGTTTCAGCAAAGCTTCCAGAGTGAGACGCACTAGGGAAGAAGGTCTAGTCATCTACTTGTAAAAGTTAACCATTGAGAACCTTATGGATCAGAATAATCTAGTTTGTACTCAGTGTTGGGGATGGTGCAGGCCCCAGCAACGTTTGTTGCTGTATGTGGGGCCACCGTGACTCAGGGGCTGACAGGACGAACAGCAGTTGTTATCTGGCCTGCCCGTCTGTTTACCACAGTGTAGCTCAGTGCTCTTCTGTATATATCCATCTCCTGGGGATGTAAACTAAAGAAGACTCAGACTCAGGTGGTCTGGGATGGGACCTGAGAATCTGCATTTCTATCATGGCCCCTGGTGTTGTCACTGTGTCAGTTGCTGACTACAGATAGGTAGCAGGAGTCCGTGCCATCCAACATGGTAGCCACCAGCCACCTGCCCAGTAGCCACACGTATAGTTATTGGCTACCACACGGGGTAGTGCAGAGAGAGAACGTTATCAGACTTGCGGAAAATTCTGTTGGACGGATGAAGTCTAGCCTACTCACTCAGGTTCAGCAGCCAGCTAATTTTAACTACATTGAAGGCTTCTATATAAATTATACATGGATGACATACAGGTACAGAATCAATTTCTTGAACCTGGCACACAGGTCTGAATCATCTAACCCTCCTAGTCTCTGTTTAACCCCTGCTTCTTCTCCCTTAGAGAGTGTAGCCTGCCTGGAGGTAGGCTGCTAGTCTCTGTTGTATATATTAAACTGGGCAGGACTCAAGTGAAGACGAGGGTGAGCCCTACATTGACATCAAGATAAGTGTGTCCTCCAATATTGTCCCCTCCCTTGCCTGCTTCACCTTAGTCTTGGTCAAACAAAGTCCAGTATAATCCCTTCCAGCCATGATCTGATATTTTTGAATCATCAGATCCTCAGCAAAAGCAAAGTCCCAGACCAGATTGTGTTTTAGAGCAAGCTTCTTTCTAAACATTGTGCCATGGATAGGTTATAAGGTGCCCAGATATTGATCCTGTTGTCCCACAGAATGGCGAGCCAAGCCAGCACCTGGGGCCATTGGAACTCCTAGGTCAGTTGTTTTTTTACATTGACCAGGTTCTTCTATGCACTTCAGTGTCTAGAATGACCAGTTGTCCCAGTTTTCCTGAGACTTCCTTGATTTTAGTTCTCCGAGTTCTGTATCCCAGGTAACCACTCCATCCAAGGCAAACAGGGATGGTAGATCACCCTACCCATGTGCCATGCCAAAGACCCCTCTGTGCCTTCCTTTCCGCATCATGAATTTGAGAATGGCAATATAATCTCTCTCAGAAAATTGTTGTAAGGATTAAATGAATTCATGTAGGGGCAGTGCTTCCTGACTGCTCCTAAGCTCTATTGAAGTGTTTGCTATTACTGTCCTCTTCTCTGTTTGCCATGACAAGAGAAAGTTTGGAAAGCACTAGTCGAAGGATTAGTCACATAGGTTGTGTACTAGCAACATGGAAGCAGCCATGTAAACCAGCTGAGAAGTGCCAGGGTTCACAGACTAGAATAGGAAAGGTCTTTGTGAAAGGAACTTGTAACAGAAACAGGCAAGAAGTTACTTGTAACAAGCAGACAAGAAGAACTTGTAACAGAAGCACACAAGTAGTTATTACAGGTATGAATTATGGGATGTTGTTGTTATTATGTACTGTCAAGTCTGGAACCCACTCATAGCTGACACTCCAAAAGGTTTTCAGAGATTGTAAATTATGTGGTTGCACAGAGCAGCTGATGGATTTTAACTGTGTGCCTTTGGCTTGACAACACAACTCCATACCAGTAGGCCAGTTGTGAAAGAGAATGCTATTTAAAAAAATTAGATCAACTCTCTTATTTACAAATGAGAAAATTGGAGTGGGAAACAAGCCCAGAGGAAATAAACAGCTAATCCAAAGCCATGAGTTAAATTATTACAGTGGTAAAACCAGAACCTGTGTCTTTAGAATGAGAAGCCAGTATCATTTCTACGATGGTATGATACATAAAAAGGAACCTGGTGGTGCATTGGTGAAGCATTCAACTTCAAACTGAAAGATTCCACTCTATAGGAGAAAGACATAGCAGTCAGCCTCCAAAAAAGATTAAAAAATCAAACCCATACTCCAGGAAAGGATCACATGGATGAATGGAACCTTCTAAAGATTAAGTCCCTGTGTGCATCAAAAATGTTTTCCAATAGGATAAAAAGAAAACCTACTGACTGGGGGGAAAAGTTTCTAATTACAATTCAGACAAGGATCTCATATCAAAAGAATCCTACAGAGCCTCCACAAGGAAAAAAAACCCCTGCTAACCCAATTAAAAGTGGTCAAGAGACATGGAAAGACTTCACAGAGGAAGACATTCAGATGGTCTAGAAACACATGAAGAAATGCTCAAAATCACTGACATAAGAAAGATGCAAATCAAAACCATAGTGAGATACCATCCCACTCCAGTAGCAGTGGCAAAGTTTAACAGGACAGCAAGTGATAAATGTTGGAGAAGATAGATAGAGAGATAGGACAGGACAGCAAGTGATAAATGTTGGAGAAGATAGATAGAGAGATAGGAACTCTCCTATATACACTGTTGATAGGATTAAAAAATGGTACAACCACTCTGGAAGGCAGTTTGGCATTTCCTCAAAAAGCTAAACATAGAAATCCCCTATGACCCAACTATTCCATGACTAGGACTATACCTCATGGAAAATAGAACTGAGACACAAACAGAGATTTGTATACCAGTGTTCATAGGAGCATCATTCACAGCAGTATGAAAATGGAAACAGCCCAAATGTCCATCAACAAATGAATGGATTGAGAAATTGTCACATGATAGAGTACTAGGCAGCACTTAGCAGCAGTGATTTCAAAACATACTACATACATGGGAGGGACTGGAGAACATTATGCTGAGTGTACTAACTCAATCTCATTAGGGCAAATACTGCATAAGACCATTATTGTAAAAATAGAAGGATAACTATGTGTATAAAAGTCCAAAGTGGAGAGGTAAGGGGCACAGAGCCTGAGAGTGGGGAGGAGAGGAAATCACGAGGTTACAGAATTTGGTGGGTAGAAGGAGAGGGTGAAAGAATTAGAAAAGATCCAGTGGGGACTTAAAAAGATAGAGTAATAGTGGGCATAGATCAATGGTGATCCTAAAACACAATGTATAGGAATGATTATATGAAACACAATGTATACAAATTTTGTATGCAAACCAATATAAAATGAATTTAAAAATAAATAAATAAAAAACACCAAACTCACATGCCATTGTATAAGCAAACTACCTAGTCTTTTTCCAGCAGAGCTATGGGTACCTCCCACCACTTTTGCACTTCACTTCCACACCACCAGGGATCCTTCTATAAAAATTTTTACTGTTCTTGTTAGGTGCCATTGAGTCAAGAACAACTCATAGCGATCCTATGAACAAAAGATCTGAACCCTGTCCTGTCCTGTGCCATCCTCCCATTTCCTGACACACAGAGCCCATTGCAGCAGTCACTGTATCAATCCACCTGGTTGAGGGTCTTCTTCTCCTTCACTGTCCCTCCACCTTTCCAAGTATGAGGTTCTTCTCCAAACAATAACCTCTCCTGGCAACATGCCCAAAGTATGAGACGATGCTTTGATTGATGCCTTTGAGCTGCAGTGATCTAAAGAAGTGCTGAACATCCCGTGGACTGCCAGAAGAACAAACAGGTATATCTTGGAGAAAGTGTGGCCAGCGTGCTCCTTGGAGGCAAAGATGACAAAGCTTCTATAAAGATTACAACCTTAGAAACCCAGTAGGACATTTATATTCTATCCCATAGGGTTGTTACGACTGTATGAACAATGCTATGACAACAAGCTTGCTGCTCCTATGATATACAAGCAACAGAGAATGGGTAGAGGGGATTTTAGTATGACTTCCTAGAAATGAGTAGTCTTAAAAATCTTTAGGTCAAGAAAGACATGAGCTTAGGGGGATACTGTAAAGGATGACGGTGAAATGGAGAATGGTTAATGGTGACCTAATGAAGTTCAATAATAATGTTACAAAGCTGTGTCTGTGAAAATTGTTGAAAAATCAAATGCTTTCATACCTATGTATTTACCCGAGGACCTTGGACCTTCCCAAAACCTGGGTTCATGTGCTTTGTCTCCCTGGCCAGGTCTGATCATGTCTGCTATCACCGTTCTCATCCTGATTTTCTACTTCGTGATTGACAACTTCGTGGTGAAGCAGAGGCCGTGGCTGGCTGAGTGCACACCCATCTACATCCAGTACTTTGTCAAGTTCTTCATCATCGGTGTCACTGTGCTTGTGGTGGCTGTGCCAGAGGGGCTGCCCCTGGCTGTCACCATCTCCCTAGCCTACTCCGTGAAGGTGAGCCTGGGACCTGTCTCCTCCTCCAGGACAGGGATGAGAGGAGAGGCGATCATATAGCCCATGTGGCAGGAGGGACCAGCACGGGCCATTTCACTGTCTCTGCACCTCAGGTGGTGCCTGCCAAGTGTGTCAGTGCCTGTTAGTATGGAAGGACCGTCATAACCAGTTGGATTGATGTTCAAGTAACTCAGTAGCATCTCAAATGATTCACAAAAGTAGTATCCTGCATTTTTGTGTGGAGAGATGTTGGCTAGGAAAATACCTTTGGCCTATTATTTGAGAGGGCCCAGTTAGGCCCACATTGAGAGTGTCGGTTTTTTTTTTTTTTTTCTTCTTCTTTCTAGAAAATGATGAAAGACAATAACCTTGTACGGCACTTGGACGCCTGTGAGACCATGGGCAACGCCACAGCCATTTGCTCTGACAAGACGGGCACATTGACCATGAACCGCATGACTGTGGTGCAGGCCTACATCGGGGGCACCCGCTACCAAAAGATCCCAAGTCCAGATGTCCTCCCGCCCAAGGTCCTGGACTTGATCGTCAATGGCATTTCTATCAACAGTGCCTATACCTCAAAGATTATGGTACGGCCGACTTTTGCTTAGATTCTTAGACTGGGTGGTCGGAGGGGAATGTTTATCCCGCCTGACTTCCCATTCCACATCTCACCTTTCACTCTTCTGTGAAAGTTTTCAGGATGCAGTAGGGATAAACTATGGAAATGGAAGGAGTTAGATAGGTGTCTATCGCTATGAAATACCCTCCAGTTACCCTGGAAAGACAATATCTTTAAGGAGGGAATTTTTTTAAATTTTTTAATTGTAATTTTAACAAAGGCTTACAGAAAAATTAGGGTCTCATTCATTCATTGTTGCATATTTTCTTCCCTTCCCCCTCACACCACCATCAGTCCACTTTGCACCCCTTGTTCCAGATTGTTGTCACACATATAATGTCTAATCATATATTCCTTTCAGATAATTCTTCCCCTCATCTGTTCCAGTGCAGTGTTAATTATTTATCCATTCTTTTCCTATTCTCCCCATAGCACTCATGTCAGTCCTATTTTATAAAAGTGGTGTTGTGCCCTATTTGTCCTTTTGTGACAGATATTTCACTCAGCATAATGTCTTACAGACTCACCCATGTTGTATGTTGTTGTTGTTGTTATGTGCCATCGAGTCGCTTGTGACTCATAGTGACCCTATGTACAACAGCCCTAAACTCCGCTCTGTCCTGTGCCAATCACACCGTCTCTGACACTCCCATCCCAATTATCCCAGTCACTGAATCAATCCACCTCATAGAGTACCTTCCTCTCCTGCGCTGTCCCTCCACCCTCCCAAGCATGATGTCCCTCTCCAAGGACCGGTCTCTCCTCACAACATGTCCAAAGTATGTTAGACGGAGCCTCAGAATCCTTGCCTCCAAGGAGCCACCCGGTTTAACCCTTTCCAGGACAAATCTGTTTGTTTTCCTAGCAGTCCATGGTATTCTCAATACTCTTCTCCAGCACCACAGCTCAAAGGCATCAATTCTCCTTCTATCTTCCTTGGTCATTGTCCAACTCTCTGATGCATAACAAGTGATTGCGAAGACCATAGCCTGTATCAGATGCACCTTAGTCTCCAGAGAGACACCATTGCTCTTCAGTACTTTGGAGAGGTCCCTAACAGCAGACTTTCCCATGGCAATGCGCCTTTTAATTTCCTGGCTGCTGGTGCCAAGACTGTTGACTGTGGAGCCAAGCAAACTAAAGCTGTGTACAATCTCAATCTCTTCACCATCCATCCTGATGCTGCCAATTGGTCCAGTGGTGAGAATCTTTGTCTTATTGACGTTGAGCCTCAATCCATATTGTAGGCTGCAGTCCTTGACACTCTGCAGCAGGCGCTTCAGGTCCTCCTCAGTTTCAGCAAGCAGGGTTGTGTCATCCGCATAACGCAGGTTGTTGATAAATCGTCCACCAATCTTGACCCCACATTTCTCCTCATAGAGCCCAGCCTCCCGGATAATCTGTTCTGCATATAGGTTGAAAAGGTATGGAGATAGGATGCATCACTGGCGTACGCCCTTCCCAATTTTGAACCATGCAGTGTTCCCTTGCTCTGTTCTGATGACTGCCTCCTGGTCCAAGTATAAGTTTCGCATTAGAACGATCAAGTGTTCTGGGATTCCCATTCTTCTCAGAGTCAGCCACAGTTTGTTATGATCTACACAGTCAAATGCCTTTGCATAGTCAATGAAGCACAGATAGACATTCCTCTGGTATTCCCTGCTTTCAGCCCATGTTGTATAGTGTTTTAAAAGTCTATTGGTTCTCAGGGCTGCATAATACTCTCTCATGTGGATATACCACTGTTTTTCTATACATTTGTTTGTTAATGGGCACTTGAGTTGTTTCCCTTTTTTTTGCTATTGTGAATAATGGAGCAATAAACATGGGTGTGCATACATCTGTTTGAGTCATGGCTCTGGTTTCTTTAGGGTATATTCCCTGTAGTAGAATTGCTGGGTCAAATGGTATTTCTATTTCCAACTTTTAAAGACCATACCAGACCGCTTTCCATAGTGGCTGTACCATTTTACATTTCCACTAGCAAAGAATAAGAGTTCCAATCTCTCCACAACCTTGCCAGCCTTTGTAGTTTGCTGCCCTATTGAACTGTGCTATTGTTGCTGGGGTGAGATGATACCTTATAGTTGTTTTGAAAGGAAGGACTTCTTGATAGTAGAAGAATTGGACCTGTCAGAAGGAAATGGTAAAACTTTGTCTCACTTATTTTGATGGACATGTTAAAAGGCTATTCCTTAGAAAAGGACATCATGCTTGGAAAGGTGGAGGGACAACAAAAGAGAGGAAGACCCTCACTGCAATGGATTGATCCAGTGACTGAGGCAAGAGACTCAAATGTGTTGGGGATGGATGGTAAGAATGGCACAGGATAAGGCTGGCTTCAGATCTGTTGTTCACAGGGTTGCTGTGAAGCCTACTCACAACAACAGCAACCCAGGAAGGTTTTCAAGGAAGACACACATACAAAGTGAGACACCACCTCCACTACCAGGCCCACTGCAAAGTCCTTAGCCTTGGACAGTCAGGAAGCAAGGTCACCATTGACCAGTGTACGCCTAGCCTTGCACAAAGCCTTTCCCCTCGGGCCTTGGGACCAATGTGTAGGTCTGGTGAGAGTTTGCTTCCCTTCCTCGTGCTCTTCCGGGTCAAGGTGTCCGAACTCAACAGTTCCGTGTGTATTTTTCCTCTCAGCCTCCAGAAAAGGAGGGAGGCCAGCCTCGGCAAGTGGGTAACAAGACTGAGTGTGCGCTGCTGGGCTTTGTCACAGACCTGAAGCAGGACTACCATGCGGTGCGCAGCGAGGTGCCCGAGGAGAAGCTCTACAAGGTGTACACCTTCAACTCCGTGCGCAAGTCCATGAGCACGGTCATCAAGACGCCCGAGGGCGGCTTCCGCATGTACAGCAAGGGCGCCTCCGAGATCATCTTGCGCAAGTGAGCAGCCCCTTTTCCTTCCTTGGTCTCTCCCCTCCGTGCCCCTCCACTCTGGAAGGTCTGGATGGTGGGCCCCATCTGAGCACCCCTGAGTGATGAGCGAACCCTCTGTTCCTTCCCTGTGATGACATCATAACTAGGGCATGGCCATTGGCCAGGCAGTTTTTCAAGTGGATCATCTCAGTCAATGCTCTTAAAAGCTCAGTGAGGCAGCTATAATTATGCTTTTTACTTTACAGATGGAAAGACTGAATGTCAGGAAAATTAAAACACTTGCTTCAGATCATATGGTTAATAGTAGGACAACCAGGATTCAGGTTTAGACAAGCTACGTGTGAGAGATTGATAACCATTTACTTCATAGGATGTTTGTGATGACAAAATGATTCAACCCATGTAAAGTACCTCACAAATAGTGTGCTTGAAAAGGGAGAGGGTCGGCGAAGGGGTGGAAGAGCCTCAGCCGGGTGGATTGTCATAGTGACTCTCGCAGTGGGCTCTAGTGTGTCACGAAGTGTGAGGATGGCACAGGATAGAACAGGGTTCAGATCTGTTGTTCAAAAGGTCACAATGGGTCACACTAGACTCGACTGTACCTGACAACACCAACAACACATGATGTACCAAGGGAGCCCTGGTGGCCTAGTGGTAAGAAGTTGCACACCAGTCTCAAAGGCACGCAGATTAAATCCACCAGCCACTCCGTGAGAGAAGGATGGACAGTCTCCATCCAGCCAATTAACTGCCTCTGAAAACCCACTGGAGAGTCAGCTATGGGTTGGTTCCAACTTGACAGCACACGAAGGCATGTATAGTAAAGTCTACTAGACATATCAGCACTAGGTTCCCTTATTCTTCCTCGTCACATCGGGTTCTAAAGGAACTTGAGTAGACCCTCCAAAGGTCCTTAAAAGGTGACCCAGCCTGACCAGTAGAAATGAAGTATCCAGTGTCTCCCCTTGACTCTAGCCACCTTCTTTCAGTCAGCACACGAGCATTTATTTCCTGTGTACCAAGCAGGACCAGCCCTCTTGGAGAGGAATGTCATGCTTGGGAAGGTGGAGGGACAGCAACTTGGGGCAATGGGGGTAGGTGTATCAGAGACAATAAGATTGGCACAGGTTAGAGCAGTGTTTAGGACTGTTGTAAAGAGTATTGCTGAGTCGCAGACAATGTGAGGGCACCTAATGACAACAATTAAGCTCTATTCTAGACACTAACATTTGAAAAAGTTTCTGCTTTCAAGAGGCTCAAAAGAGCACCTTATCTACAAATGCTATTGGCATTGCCTTCATGTGGGTAGGGAGAGACAATGTGTGAGAGAGAACCCTATTCTTTGCCTATTGAGATCTTGCTCCATCCACAAGCCACCCCACCTTGGACAAACGACCCAGCTAGGCTGTAGGCAGGGGAGCTGGCTGGCCAGGAACCGGAGTCTATAGGAGTAATGGCAAAGTTGAGTGCAGGTGACTAGAAGCTGAGCAGGGAGGGGGCGCTGCTTTCTGACCATGTACCTCCCCAGGTGTAATCGAATGCTGAACAAGGAAGGGGAAGTGATGCCTTTCAAGAGCAAGGACCGAGACGACATGGTGCGCACTGTCATCGAGCCCATGGCCTGCGAGGGCCTCCGCACTATCTGCATAGCCTACCGCGATTTCAATGACGCAGAGCCTGTGTGGGACAACGAGAACGAAATCCTCACTGAGCTCACCTGCATTGCAGTGCTGGGCATCGAGGACCCCGTGCGCCCAGAAGTAAGGCTCCCTGGCTTGGAGAAGGGACACAAGAGCAGGAATGCTGGTTTCCCAGCAGCCCCTAGCCCATGCCCAGACCCAGTGTAACCCTGTGGGAAGCACATAGAGTCATAGGAACTGAGTATTGGTTCTGCTCCCAGTGGTAACCCCAGGCCAGTTACCTGGCTGCTTCTCATTCACAGGGATGGATGTTTCTGAGCTTCTTGCTTCACAGAACTCCCATGCACTGCCGAACTGATGATGGGTGGTGGCGTTCCTAGGATTAACACTACCTCCATGGGGAGAAGCATAATTTTATTGTATTTGTGATTCAGTACTTAGAAATAGGAAGCTTGATTAACCAGAGCATCACCTTCATCTTGAACCACCTTCTCTTTTAGAGAATTTTTTTTTTAAATTTCTTGTGTGTGTACTATCAAATCTGGTCTGACTGGTACAGAAGGAGATTGCCCCTCCTCCAGCAAAGCATCTGGTGGATTCGAACTGCATGCCTCTGGGATTGCAGTGCAGCTTCTTGCCACTAGGCCATCAGAGCTCCCTTGAACCACCACCCTCTTTTAATCATCACATTCTCATTGGGTGTACTCTGTGTGCTGATGAACTGTTCTAGACACTGGGGTTTGAAAAGGCCTTTCTACCTCCCAGAAGTTCAGGCAGGTTGACCAACAATTATCAAGGCCCAGACGCATAAGAAGGGGCCAGGCATGTGACAGACTACATACAGGCAGTGGACGTGGTTGGTACCTGCAGAATGAAGAGAGCTTCTGATAGAAAGGCAGGCAATGGCCAAATCTCTCAGATCGCCGATGGCCTACTAAGGAATCTGAACTAGTAGTGGGAGAGTTAGCTTTTATACCTGGATCCCAAGGCAAATTGTCTCTCCAGCGTACAGTACAAGTGTCAGTGTTGTGGGGTAGGCAGATGTCAGGTGGCACCAGGCAGACTGAAAATGATCAGTTTACCTCACACTCCATGATACTGCTTCTAGGGTGCCTCTCCCCTACCTTTAATGAAAGGAGAGCTGAGCAGGGGTGACTTATCAAGCATCATCACCCCATCCCTTCCCTCTTTCTTCATGGCCCACACACAGGTGCCGGACGCTATTGCCAAATGCAAGCGAGCTGGCATTACCGTCAGAATGGTGACAGGTGACAACATCAACACAGCCCGAGCCATCGCCACCAAATGCGGCATCCTGACCCCTGGAGATGACTTCCTGTGCTTAGAAGGCAAAGAATTCAACAGGCTCATTCGTAATGAGAAGGGCGAGGTGGGTCCTTGGAGAGGGAGTCAGGACCTTCCTTGACAGGAGAAAGTCTCATCTTTGTGGAAGGCATGTGGGAGAAAGTGGGGAATGGGGGAGTTTTAAACTAACACCTGTTCCCCATGAAGCTTCCCATTCCAACAAAGCTACTCAAGTGATTTAATTGGGGAATTTTCTCTCTTATTATCTTCATTCACAAGCTGTCCTTTGAGACAGTTTTGTAATTTTTTTGTTTTTTAAAATTATTATTATTATTATTATTATTATTATTATTATTAATTATTAGTGTGTGTATTGTCAAATTGGATCTGACTGGTACAGGAGGAGATTATCCCTCCTTCTCCAGCAGAGCTTCTGGTGGATTTGAAACGCGCACCTCTGGGATTGCAGTGCAGCTTCTTGCCACTAGGCCACCAGAGCTCACCAGTTTTGTAATTTTCTTATATTTTCATCTTAGCAGATCCCACTTTCTTCTGTGTCACTGCCCTTGTAATTGATCATGACACAGACATGTTAAAGAATGAGCTCTTGGTGTGGAATAGCAAAGCTTCTTTATCTATGTAGAAATCCAACTTAAGACCTCAGAAGGCCCATTTCACCCAGTAGTCAGTCTTGACCATCTCCTATTAAAGGCCTAAGAAATCGAGATTGGCTCCCATGCAGGGAATTAAGAGGAAAAATATCAGCAATAACGAATCTAACTTGGAAGGCTAAGGTTGGCTGTTTCCTCTCACTTGTGGGCACGGCACTCGGTCCCCATGGGCTGTGGAGTAGCAGGTTCTCCAGAAGCTCAGAGGGTGTGGAGAATTACATTTCCTGCATGACGGTGCTGAATTTAACTGATCCAAGTGTGATCTGGTGTTGGCAGGTAGAACAAGACAAGCTTGACAAGATCTGGCCAAAGCTCCGCGTCCTGGCGCGATCTTCACCCACTGACAAGCACACACTGGTGAAAGGTGAGGCTCGCTCCTGAGCAGTAGGTGCCTGGGACAGATGAAGGCAGGCTGGGGCAAGGGCAGGCGAGTCCCACCAACTGCCGTGTCCTAGGTCAGATCCCAGGCTTTGCAAAACATACAGTTAACAAACACCTGACCCCTAGTGAGTAGAAGACCTAAAGCTTTTGGGTTTTATCATTAGTGTATTCCTTACACTGATAATACTGTGACCTAGGCAGGAAAATGAAAACAATTCACATTTTTATAAATGAGGGCTTTTGAGACTCAAAGAAGAAATTAGTTGCCCAACTGGTAAATGGAAGTGGTAGAGTTGGAACTACTGGTCTCTATTTTGAAATCTTTGTAGTGCTTTTTCTGTACATAATAGCTGCTGGCGGCACCCTGCAGAGTATCTGACAAGGACAAACAGTCTCATTCCAAAATGCTGCCGAGTGAGAAAATGTACCTTCTCTCTGTTTGAGTCCTGTATAGGGAAGAAGGAAAGAAAGTCAAATGAGGAGGCGGGAGTGCCCAGAACCAAGGAGGGAGGATTTGGCGGGGAGCCTAGTGCTTGCCAAGTGGCCTCAGATGATACATGTGGGCTTACTGTGACGTGTTTGTGTCTCTAGATAGTACATGTGGGCTCACTGTGGTGTATGGATTTATGCATGTTTCCTGGACAGTACCTGTGGGCTCAATGTGTGTATGAATGTGTGTTTCCCAGAAAGTGTCTGTGGGCTCACTGTGGTGTATGGATGGATATGTGTTTCCTGGACGGTACCTGTGGGCTCAATGTGTGTATGAATGTGTGTTTCCTAGATACTATCTGTGGGCTCAGTGTGGTGTACGTATGGTTGCGTGTTTCCCGGACACCATCTGTGGGCTCACTGCGGAGGGTCTGTCTGTGTCTCCCAGCCAGCACCTTTGTGCTCACTGTGCTGTCTGTCTCCTTCCCAGGCATCATTGACAGCACTGTTGGGGATCAGCGGCAAGTTGTGGCTGTCACTGGTGACGGCACTAATGACGGGCCAGCTCTGAAGAAAGCAGATGTTGGTTTTGCCATGGTAAGCTACTTGCAGTGTCTCTTTCTCTTTAATGTAACCTGCCTTCTCCATCGGAAAACAGGCAGACTTCTGCTTCCTGAACCTTCATGTCCCATCCTGTACCTTTTTCTCTAATCTCTCCTACTTACCTTATCAATAACACTATGCAATGAGAGGGACATCTGTAAAAAGAGCAAAGGCCATGTGGACATGGCCATATCTGATTTTTACAAACTTTACAAAGGGGAACTGTCCCCATCTACAACATCAGTAACACAAAACCAATTCCCATGAGGTCAGACAGGTCCCCCATGCTTCTGTACCTCTTTCTACTCATCTAAACACCAGTCTACTGTTTTGCTGGATCCAAAATTTGATGTAATAGTTCATAGACCACACAGGGAAGTTAAGGTTATAATCTAGATTAATAACAGTATATAGGTAAGACAACTCCTGAAATATGCATGCAGGCACCTCAGCCTCAAGTCTCATGCCTTCGGGCCAGTGGGTCCCAAGTTCAGTCTTGCAATATTGGCTTCTCCTCCTCTCCCCATAATTGTCCAACAAAATTCTCAGTCCTGCCAATATTGGCTTCCCTCCACCTCCACCAAGGTCTCATCTTACGTCAAATCTCCAGTTCAGCCATAGGAGTTGCTAAAGTAGGTACAGCTGGAGCAAGGGTTTCATTGTCTTTGAGTGAAAACTGACTATAAATTGCATGGGAGGAGATTACCCGTAGTTCTTCTGCAGAGTTGCTGGTAGACTCAAGCAAGCAGAGAGATAAGTCCACTGAGTTAGCAATGCAACACCCTTCAGACAGGTCAGATCAGGTCACTGGAGATTTATTTTTTCCTTCAGTAGATTTTGATTCTGCTATTCAGGGAAGTTTAAAAATTGTATAAATCTTCCATACACATTGAGCTGTGGGTGATGTTTAAGTGGTGGGAAAAGATTCAGTAGTCATCAACATATGACCAATCTTATCTCCACCTACTTACCCTCTCATGAACTGACTTGTTTTAAAACAAATTTAAGATATCACTGACATGTCATCCATAAAAATTTCAATCTGGGCCTCCTCCATTACCTCCTTTCTTGGGAGGAAGGTCATTTCCTTTGGAGATGTACCTATTCTAATAAATCTATCTTTGGTTTTTATCTTTAAAAAAATCAATCTGTATCTTTAAGAAATAAGCATATTTTAAGAAAATCATAATAACTTTATCTTGTAACAAAATTGATAATTCCTTACTATCATCAGATGTCTCAACTCATTGCCATCAAATCAGAAGCAGCTCGTAGCTGACCTTCCACTAGACGCTCACTGCTGTAAATTCCATAGGAAGAGACTACCCTTCTTTCTCTCTTGGAGCAGCTGGTGGATTTGAACCATTTACCTTTAGATTGGCAGTTCAACTACTTAACCACTAGGCCGCCAGAGCTCAGTGTTTCATTTTCCCCAATGGCCTCATATGTATGGTTTTTATAGTTGATTTATCTAACTCAGGATCCAAGTAAGGTTCATATATTGCAATTCATTGATAAAGCTCTCTTTTCAATCTCTTCATCTATAGCAATGGTTCTCAAAATATGTTCCCCATACCAGTACTAAGCAGTACCTAGAAACCTGTACAAATGCAGATTCTTGGGCCCTCGCCCCAATCTACTGAAACAGGAAGTCCAGAGTGGGGCCCAGAAATTTGTGTTTTAACAGGTCTTCCATGATTCTCCAGCATGCTTAATTTGAGGACTGCTGGTTTTATAGGTTCCTACTTTCAAGGATCCTTAAGACCACCCCAAAGTTCGGAGATTCACTAGAAGAGTTCATGGAACTCAGGATCTCATTGTCCTCACCATTAAGGTTTATTACAGCTAGATGATGAAAGAAAAAGACACGTCTAGAACGTAAGAGGAAAAAAAAAGGTGGAGTCTGGAGGGATGTCCGCGGGTTTTTCATGCTCTTTCTCCAGGAGAGATTACCCATAGCACAATCTTCCCCCAGCAACAAAACTGCAGCAACATGTCTGTGACATTGCTGTCTAAATACGCTCATTGCAAATTCAGAGCCCAAGATTTTTATTGAAGCTGGTTGCATAGGTAGGTACCCTGTCTAGTTCCCAAATTCCAGACTCCCAGGAAGAAAGTTCTGCACAAGCCATAATGTTGGTATAAATAGTCTAGGCTCAGTGAATCACTCTTATCAGTTGACTATTGGCTGGGAACATTCCAAAAGCCCAGTTCCCACATGCCAGACAGGGCGACCTTGCAAGGAGGCCACTCTGGGGCTACAGAGTCTTAGTATGTTAACTCTTCTCTACATAGTTCTTCTTCAGAGCAGAATCATTCTCTAGGACCCTAGGCAGCTGGCTCGACCATCCTGTGGTATTGACCTCAGTTTCATCTTCCAGGGACCCTGGATTGGGCCATTTCTAACAAGTCCCATTTTGGAAGCAGGAGTGACATCTACTTCCTAAACAATATGTCTCTGGAAACTCTATGATCTTTGAGAAAGGATGATAGTTATAGAAAGGCTTCAGGTCTTTTGTTCATAGGGTCACTATGAGTTGTGCTCAAATCGATGGCAATCAACAACAATCAATAACAAGTCCCATTAATCATAAAGGTCTCTCCTAGAAAGCCAGGAGACTCCCTACTTAAGAATGCTAGCTTGGTTTTGGTTTTGGTGTTGCTTTGTGTATTGTATAAACATTAATGTTTAATGTTTCTTTTTTAATAGTTTTTACTATAGTCCCAGATATGTCTGACCATCATGACAGTCAACTTCAGAGCATTTTCTTCACCACAGAGAGGTCTTTCCCCTTTAGCTGTTACTCCTCCACATTCCTCGTCTTCCACAGCCCTTCTTCTTTAGTTTTAAGGTTTTGGCCTGGCCAGAGGCATTGATGTGAGACCCAGTAGGACTCTGGCTGGTGAACTGAAGCTGACCTGGAAGGTCCACAGGGCTGCTGAGGCAATGCCATGGTAATCAGGCACACACAAGTGCGAGGCCAGAGGGCAGGCATCCTTTCCTGCAGTCTGTTCCTCAGTGAAGAGTTTGCGTTTATTAGTGCAGGCCAAGCAGGACATACATTTGTTAGGAAAAGCTAATTAACAAAGGTGCTCTAGTGATGCAAGAGTTAAGTGCCCAGCAACTAATCAAGAAGTTGATAGTTTAAACCCAGCCAGTGACTAACGGGGGAAAACCCAGCTATCTGTGCCAGAAAGATTACAGCCTGGGGGAAACCTTAGTGGGCTACTTCTATTTTGTTACATAGGGTTACTATGAGTCCAAACCAACCCAATAGCAATGGAGTCAGTAGGATCCCTGGTAATGTGGCGGTCAGTGAACCCTACAGCTAACCTATAACTCCAGTCAGCAGTTCAAACTCACCAGCTGCTCTGTAAGAGAGAGACATGGCAATGCGCTGCTGTTCAGTCTGAGGCCTCAGAAATGCTGTAGGGCCATTCTGTTATGTTTTATGAGTCTGCTGTGAGCTGAAAATTAACAGCATACAACACTGGTTAACAGGGCCCTTCAACATGCCTCCCACTAGAGGCATCTCCCCCTCGGGCTCTCAGACCAAATAGTTCAGTTCACTGTCCATGCTTTTAGAGGAGACTCTGGTGACCTTGTGGTAAGAATCTGCGCTGTAATCCTGAAAGGCACGTAGTTCAGATCTGTCAGCTGTTCCACGAAAGGAGCGTGGGCAGACTCCTCCCATGTGATTTCAGCCTCTGAAAATCCACTGGAGGTCAGCTAGGGGTTGGTTCCCACTCGCTGGTACACAGTCACAACAACATTGGAAGATCAGTGATGTCAGTTTGAAGACAAGTGCACCTGATTCAAGCCATGGTCTTTTCAGTCACTTGTTGTGCATCTGAGAGCTGGGTAGTGATTAAGAATGAGAAGAAGAATTGATGCCTTTGAGCTGTGGTGCTGGAGAAGAGTACTGAATCCAATGGACGGCCAAAAGAACAGATGTATTTGTCTTAGAGGATATACAGCCAGTGCTCCTGAGAGGCAAGGATGGCAAAGCTTCATCTCACATACGTTGGACGTGTTAGGAGGGGCTGTTCCTTGGCAAAGGACATCACACTTGGAAAGGTGCAGAGTGGGTGAAAGAGAGTAAGAAGACCTTCAATGAGGTGGATTGACACAGTGACTGTAGCAATGGACTCAAGGGTGTCAGAGGTAATGAGGATGGCACAGGACAGGACAGGGTTCAGCTCAGTTGTGCATAAGGTCGCTATGAGTCGTACTCACCTCGCTGGTACCGAACAACAACAATAATCCAAAGACAGTTCTATACTGTTTAACCCCTCTGTGGCAGCTGCTCATGAGCCTGGGTGACATGGGAGGTCGCTTTTGGTGGCAGTGTGGGAGCTGGGCCACTGTGGTCTCCTAGTCATTCGTGAGGGCAGACTCTGCTCTGAGGCCCCATCCAAGCATCCCCACAAGAAGAGGTAGGGCTTCAGGAGCAACTCTGAGAAACAACTCACTAGCGCCCCTCTCCCTCTCCCCGTCCCTCCCCAGCCCCGCCCAGATTCTGGCTTTGATTTGGTTTTCTCTTTTGTTACATAGTCAGGGTGTCTCATTCTGTACTCACAGCTTAAACTTTCCCCCAGTCCTTTTTCATTCTCACACATGTCCTTCATCCAGACAGGTTAGTTTTGAGAGGAACATGAAACACTTTCACAGAAAATTTTTATATGACTTAGCACATCAGGTTTAGGAATTAATGAAAATAACATCTTGATTGCTCAGAAGTTTCTAAATGAGTTTCTTTATAAAAACCTCCCCCTACATATTTTGCCCTGATCATGTATCCAATGAGCAGCCAAAATGATCGATCAGTTTCTGGGTAACCACCCCCTCACTGTCATTGAGTCCGCTCCTAATCACAGGGACCCTCGGGCAGAGTAGAACTTCTCCATAGGCTTTCTAAGATTATGAATTTTAGTGTAAGCAAAATGTCACATCTTCTGCAGAGTGACTAGTGGTCTCAAACCACTGACCTTTC